CTGCTGGTGGTAAAAAAGGAGGCAACACATTGGGTAGTGTCATGCTGGGGGGTAAAAAAGGCAGGAACAATTGGTGTGTCATGTGGTGGTAAAAGGCGGGGAACACTTTGGTTTAGTGCCCTGTGGTGGTAAAAAAGGCGGAAACCCATTGGTTTGTGTCACTGTGGTGGTAACAAGGCAGGCAACACATTGGTAGTGCCCTGCTTGGGGGAAAACAAGGCGGAAACACATGGTACTGTCACTGCTGGTGGTAAAAAGGCAGGAAACACACTGGTACTGTCATGCTGGTGGTAAAAAGGCAGGAAAAACCACTGGTACTGTCATGTGGTGGTAACAAGGCGGCAAACCACTGGTACTGTCCTGTGGTGGTAACAAGGCGGGCAACACTTGGTAGTGTCACTGCTGGGGTAACAAGGCAGGCAACACATTGGTGTGTCACTTTGGTGGTAAAAAGGCGGGCAACACACTAGTCTGTCATGTGGTGGTAAAAAGGCGGGCAACACACTGTATGCATGTGGTGGAACAAGGCGGGCAAACACTAGTACTGTCACTGTGGTGGAAACAAGGGGGGCAAACACTAGTCTGTCTGCTGGGGAAAAAAGGCGGGCAACACACTAGTACTGTCATGTGGTGGTAACCGGGGCGGGAACCACTAGTACTGCATGTGGTGGTAAAAAGGCGGGCAAACATTTTTTTTTTTTACTGTTTAGTGGTAAAAAAGGCGGGCAAACATAGTACTGTCATGTGGTGGTAAAGGCGGCAAACCCTAGTACTGTCACTGCTGGTGGTAACAAGGCAGGGAAACAACTATCTGTCACTGTGGTGGTAAAAGGCAGGCAAAAACCTAGTCTTCATGCTGGTGGTAACAAGGCAGGCAAACACCTGTCTGTACGCGGGTTTGGTAAAAGGCGGGAAAACACTAGTACTGTACTGCGGGTGGGTAAAAGGCAGGCAAACACTGGACTGTTCTGCGGTGGAACAAGGCAGGAAACCACATGGTACGTACTGTGGTGGTAAAAAAGGCAGGCAACAACTGGTACTGTCACTGCTGGTTTTAAAAAGGCAGGCAACACACGGGTTACTGTCACTGTGGTGGTAAAAACAGGCAAAACACTGGTACTGTCCTGCTGGTGGTAAAAAAGGCAGGCAAACCTGGTACTGTCACTGCTGGTGGTAAAAGGCAGGCAACACACTGTTCCTCTCCTTCTTTCCTCATCACCCAAATATAAAAAAAACTTCCTGTTATTGGCCCCAAATATTCAATAACGTAGTAAACTTTTCTCCCCACACGGGGGAAACTGGAAAAATAAATGCCCGGGCAGTGAACGCAGCTCAATAAATCCCAGCAAGAGAAGTACAATATACGTAAATATATGCTTTGGGGTATCTGCTGACGGTATATCTGGTTTTAAAAAGGTGGGGGCATGCGCCTTTGACCCCTCCCAAAAAAAGGGCCCCCACATGACAACGAGGTGCAACTTCTTTCTTGTAACTTATTTCACCAGAAAAGTGTCACTGTCAATCCTGAAAGAAAAGCTAAATGATACTGCCCCCAGGCACATATCTAAAGGGGGGCTGAAAAACAGACCCGCAGGGGCTATGGGGAAAAAAAGAGGGAGAAAAAACCTCCAGGGGCAGAGTATTTTTTTTTTTTGGCCAGAAGGGAAAAAAGATGGCAAGAAAAGGCAGTGTTTTTACACCACTGAAAGCACTTTGGGCAGGGGGGGCATTGGCCTCTACCCCCGAACAACAGATATAGAGCCCGCAAAAAAAACCCCCATCCCCCTTAAATTCCACCCAAAACTATTTGTCTTTGAAAAAATGCAGGGGGTTTTAAGCCGTCAAAAAACAAAATTCCTTTCCGAAAGGGGCTTTTTCACAAGCTGGAAGATATCCTAAAAAACACGGATTCAACATTTTCCTTTAAAAAATGATTCTTGGTTCTTTAGATCGTCAAAACACATTCCCTTAGAAAAAAAAAGAGAGATGTTAAAATAGAAAGAGAGAGCTTCCCTATACAGATGAAGGCAAAGAGTCACAAGGTGCTGTGGGGGTCGTATATCTGAAAAAACGAAGGGCGACAATAGTCAATGAAATTTTAAAAATCGAAAAATTAAACTGAGGAATCTTTTGGAGGGGCAAGAATCACAGGAAAAAACTAAAAAACGTAAAAAAAATTTAAAAAAAAAAAAAAACAAAACACTTCTTCCTTAGGCCAAAAAACTATGGGGAAAAACAGCACCAGTATTGGGCCCCCGCTTAGGGGGGTGGGCATACCAGATGATAGCCGAAATGGTGTGATACTAAGTCCCAAAAGCTCATGTCAGCATCCACTGCCCCGTAGGGTCGACAATCCAAATGAAATTTTTTATGAACGAAACCAAAAAATTGGTCTCCCAAAAATTTTCGATATTTTTCTAAAATACAAAACTTTTAAAGGCAATTAATGACATGCCGTGTACTCTGCCCCCGGCCCAGATCGTGGAACTCCGGTCTCAAGAAGCTCCTAAAGCGTGCCTTCAGCATTTTATGGAGAGGGAGCTGGACACAGGGGTATCCCCCACACTAAAAAAAACAGACATAGCCCCCCCGCTACAAAGATGGGAGTTTAAAAAGCTCAGCCGTGCACTAACATCCCATATATAAAAATCTTTAGAGGGTTCTAAGAAGCAGTAGCCAACCACCTGATACCCATCAGTTACAAACCCCGGGCAACGCGGGTGTAGAGCGGTCGCTCCTGCCTGTCCCAGCTCTGGCCACTATGACAAGGCCCGTGCTGTAGAGGATAAGCAAAATGAGATTTTAGGATAACAGACTTGCAAAAAACTTTCAACAGTGTGATCAAGGTGTAATAGCACACAAAATGCGGGTAAAGGAAAGCGGGAAAAGTTTGGAGATGGGTCTAAAAAATTTCCCGACAAAAAGAAAACAAAGAGTAATGTAAAAAAGAGTAAAATCCCACTATACTAGCAGTAGAGCTACTATACTTTTCCTCTTTCTCCCCCCTTTCTTTTTCTATCTTACTTATTTCCTATACCTGTGCCCGTTTCTTCCCCTTTTACATTAACTCTCTTCTGCTCCTCGTGCTTTTCTTTTTTTTGTTCTGCTGTTATTTTCTCCCCATACTTACTTCCTCCTTCTTTACCTCCTTCTTGGAGTGGAGAAAAATTTTATGAAGATGGAGACGCGAGATCAGGCATTTTTAAAAACAAAAATCTCATACCAAAAAAGTCCGCGAGGGAAAATAATTTCTACAGATATATTTCTAAAAAGAATAAAATTTCCCATGTGTATTTGATCAAACGATAATCATTTTGATTAAATTTTTTACCCAAAGTGCCATTGACAGCGAAAAAGACTTGCAGAAAACGTAGTTTTAAAATTAAGCCACACTCAGAAAAGGAATATTGGACTACTTAGGGGCCCTTTTACCCTTTCCCGATTTTTTAGGATGGATTAAATGGCCATTGTTGAAAATTATTAAGTTACAAGACATAATATTTGTTCTATTAGGCTTGGTAAACCTTTACAGTCCCTTTTGATTTCCCCCATGGAAGTGTGTTCATTTAATATCACTACCACAATCCCTCCCAAGAAGTCATTGCTAGTAATCCTTCCCTTAAATCTTGTTTGAGCAACTGTCAAGAAGAAAAATTTTCACCCATGGTAGTAAAAAGTTTTTCACAATTATATACACTGATGGATCTAAACAGGGTCTTCTGGCAGGGGGTGCTTGCTTGTTGCCCCTCCCCGTTTAAAAACGTAATAAATTTGTTTAGTTTTTGGAAGATTAACAACTGGGGGTTCATGCAAATGAAATTTTTTGCATCCTAATGGCGCTAAAAATAACCTTGACACTATTGACTCTATCCATTTGATTTTTGTCATCATTTAAGGTCTTGGCTCATATAATGCTCCAACAAAATGCCCCTTTGGGGGAAACCCGGTTTAGATACTAAAAAAATTTGGGAAAAAGGGAAATTAAAGTCAATTTTATGGATCCCCTCACACATTGGTTTTCTCCTTTATGTTAAAATTTAATGTTTGCCAAGAAGAGATCGAGAAGGAAATGTAGAATTAACTTTGGTTTAAATGTGTTTGCATTTGGAATAATATTAGGAGAGAAGTAAATAATGAAAAAAGATTGTTATAGGAAGCATTTAGAAGCCCGAGTGATTATAACCCACTTGATAAAATAACAGTAAGTATGTTTTTGGGCAACTTGCAATGGAAAAGACTGAAAGATGTTGTAGTGGCCAGGCTTAGGCTTGGTTATAAATACTTCTGGCAGTTTGGGAGACACACAGATGATGATCAAACCAAATGTAAATTATGTGATCAGGATATGGTCATTCTTTTGAACACTATGTGCTTAATTGTCCACTTATTGAGGAATACAGAGACAGACATTTATAATAACCTATGTGACATGTCAAGATATCTAATTAATAAAAATTTAAGATACCAGATATACTAAGCAAATTTCCTAAATTTGCTTGTAACAGATAAGTGAACTATAGATATGTAGATATAAATCCATATGTATTCCTGTTAACCCTTTGGGGCCTAGTTCCTAGGCCTTTTGTGTATCCATATGCTCTCGCGCTACCGTCCACAGGATGGATATGGGGTGCACAATAAACTAGCCACTTCGGTGGCAAAATCTGAAAATCTAAAAGTCTCCCATGGGAGGAGGCACAAGTACCTCCTCATCTTTGGGACTAACTGTCCCCGGGCCTAGCCACAAGCTAGGCCTCTCTGGTCTGCCATCCCCGCCCCAAGGGGGCAAATGGGAATGACAGTCTTATGAGCTAAAGGCTCGGGCTCAGGCACCTACCCTACCCTAGAAGGGTTAGGCATGGTGTCGATGACACACAGGAATAAAGGAAATATTGTATGAGAGTAAAAACTAATTTTATTTTTTAAAGAATATAACGTTAGTATTGTTAAAAATTGATAGTAAGGAAAAAAACTAATTTTTAAGCAGGTGATATTTTATTTTAAAATCAAGGGTAATTTTTTATTAAGAACAAATTTGCGTTACGAAAGGTTGACATAGCAACGATTACATTCAGAAGGTAATTATTTAGAAATTTAGAAAGATGATGATGTATGTAATTCAGATACCTTTGATACAATTACGAAAAAAACAGGAAAACATTTATAAGACTCCGAGTTGATCAAATAGTCACGATTTTGTCTTCATCAGGCGATGGTGTTTTGTTCTTCAGGAAACAGGAGAAAAGTCTCCTGACCATACAATACAATAAGTGTCAGGGGCCCGAGACTGTTCAACTGCCTCCCAGCACACATAAGGGGGATTACCAACAGACCCCTGGCAGTCTTCAAGCTGGCACTGGACAAGCAACTAAAGTCAGTTCCTGATCAGCCGGGCTGTGGCTCGTACGTTGGTTTGCGTGCAGCCAGCAGCAACAGCCTGGTTGATCAGGCGCTGATCCACCAGGAGGCCTGGTCACAGACCGGGCCGCGGGGGCGTTGACCCCCGAAACTCTCTCCAGGTAAACTCCAGGTAACTCTTCTGTTTCTGTCAGCTGCTGACTCGTTCAGTGCTGAATCATCTGTTGGCCTAAAGGACCTACATTTTACGTTATTTAAAAAAAAAATATCAGCTCATAGTTGTGTTTTAATAATTCTAAGCACGAACAATAAGAGAGCCACACTGAAGACCACTGAGGCGGCTACTACACTGCTGTTGATCAGCAGTAACTGTTGCATATGAGTTAGTAAATTAATATCTTTATAATGAGCCAAAGAGGAGTAACCGAAGAAGTTTACATTGTACACTCGTACACGAGTAGCCAGTACCTCGCACAGTCGAAGCTTCGCTACGTCCTTCCAGAACTGCGAACTAATCTTCAGACAGCCATCACTGAGAACCACTTGAAAATGCAGCCATTTCGTTGTGTAACACATCGCAAATGGAACAGTCTTGGACTCATCCACAAATCCATCACACTTATACTTTGCCTGAAGTAATATATTACCACGTTGTAGCTTCATGTCAACACAAGCTTTATCATTGTTTTTATCGTCCAGAAACACGAGTCTTGGACACCATGAAGACTCGTTTAAGGTAAAGTTGAACATGTATGGTGATGCGAGACTTATTATTGCTGGGATGTCAAGTGTCCAGCTGGTGTTCCTGGTCTCACAGGGCAGCTGGTGACAGGTGGGCCTCAGATCATCTGCAACTCGGTGTTGGAGAGACTTAGCATGGGGATGTTGTGTTGTCCAAGTGGTAGTTGTGTGTGTGAGAGAAGTGAGTCTGTGATCGTCAGTAGTAGTTGCTTTTGTCAGTGTAGAGAGAGTGAGGATGAGGTACATCAGTTTGTTGTCCATGATGAGTATTCCAAGTTAACTGAACAGCTGTAACGGCACCACAACAGCTTGTTGTCAAGAACTTCACCGTCACAACCACGTGTTAGCAAGGCATCGATCTCACAACCACTGATCAAGAGTTGCCGTCATAAAACATACTTGTGACCCAGAGCTTTACTGTCACTTGTTTCACTCTGGCGGTGGAACTGAAGAACTGTCTGTTTACACAAGAGATTTTTATGCACCTCTTATAAAATTGTACAGGATGTGATATGTATTTTTGATGTTTCTCTTAAAAAGTACGTTCATGTTGCAAGAGGAATTTTGTTCCTAACATTTCATGTTTTATATATATATATATATATATATATATAATATATATATATATATATATATATATTTATATATATATATATATATATATATATATATTATATATATATTTTATATATATATATATATATTATATATATGCAAAACAACACTCTGAAAGAACAGAGAAATTCCAAGCGCTTTCGTGACTAATCACATTATCAAGGAACTATGAAAGTAAAGCATCCAAGGAGTGTATATAAGGGGTCTGGCCAACACCTCACTATCAGATCCCACAACGGTTAAACACCTGACCGCGCCGCCGACCAACTTGGAATCCTATGAAACCACCCCCCCAAAAAACCCTTTTAAA